TACCTGATATTTGAAAACATCAACGCGGAAAGCTCCTGGAAAGCCATCATATTCATCTCAAACTTCAAAGATAACACTGTGGACAATGAGTATGAGAGAATGGTGGGCTGTAGGTTTTCATTTTGTGCACAACACTTGTTAGAAAAGAGATTTTTGACAGCTAATGGGAGCTTCAAATCTCTTTACACACACTTGGTCGCTATGTGTCGAAATGCAATGGTATCTGCTCGTGCCCATCACCTTTATTACTCAGCGATCTTTGATACCATGGCGAAAAACATTTTTTGTAGGTAGGAGCTTTCAAAAAGTGTGATCAGAAATATAGAATTTTGTTCAGGAATCGGATTGTGTTCATTTTTATTTTATTTCTTCAGTGATAGTATAATATCTTTCTATAGTGTCTTCTCAAGAACATGGCAGTTTACTTGTGGCATAATAGTGTTCTTATCTCAAGAAGAAGAAATGAAATCTCCCCCTAATGGACTTGAACAAGCCGTTAGTCACCGTGCTCCTCTATGTTAAGTGCTGGTTTCCTATAAATTACACTGTGCAAGTTCTTGCAAGCTTAGGTCTAGGCACACGTTGGTGCACTCAAATCTAGTGCTAGTCTTAGGAAAGAGGAATGATCTTGACTTTAGCGGAAAAAATGGCATTTTCCGATGCAATGCTGAATGAGAGTTTGAAGCTGAGTTTTTGGCCACAAGTGAATATAAGCTTTTTACGAAAAACCCAATCAAAGTCTCACAATCTCTATGCACAGTGCCCAGTGTTCTGTTTTTTTACTGACAAAATCAGAGCAGTAAAAAACGGTGACATCCCAACGCACCAATATTTGTCGCCAGTACAAAAACTTCAATTTGCCATAATGGGAGAATTTATTTTTTGCCTGTTCACTTCTCCCTCATACCAACTTCCAGCTGTAATCCAGTATTTGCCGAATACTCATCAAATTGATATCAATTATTGATGAAATAGCCAGTAAGCGACTTGCGAAAGTGTGTGTGCATACAGAGTCGTTTGGATTTTGGACACAAAAATTTTTTTCGGAACAAGTGAACGTACCTGGCGGTCCGACGGGGGAATCGCCTATATGGATTATAAAAATGTGCAAGTAACTTGTTTATTCCTATAAATGATTGAAATAATAGAATAATAACAAATACTGAAGATTGAAATAATTTTTAAAATTTTTTAGAAGTTCAGGCTAGCCTTTAAAAATTTTCGGGGCATGGCCGCTGCCACGCCCCCTTTCTGGATTATGGGGGTTGTGTGCCCGCAATTTTGGGAGAGCACCTCAATTGAGGTGTGGCTTCATGCACCTTCATTTCCCCCCCCCCCTCCCGGACGGAAATCCTGGGACCAAGGGACCTAAGTTCTACGAAGTCGCCCTTGACCCTTATTCGAAGCGACTAAAAACGACTCATAAAACGATACACCCTCTTTTTGTCCTTAGAACGATATCCACTTTTTATGAGCCACCTGTGCCGAGTCCTAATCTCACCTCTGTATGGCAATTCCTCGTCTACGCTGTGTTCATTATGTAATCAGCATTATCCTTTTCCTTTTTCTAGCAGAACCGCTTCAAACTCATCAAATACTGAGTACGATAATGTTGCGTTGCTGCATGACGAAGGCGCAATATGTTCAAGAAACGCGGCTTTGTTAACCGCAGAGCGTCTGAGGTGCAGGATTTACAACCGTGAGCATAGCGCACCGTGTTCGCGCCCGCTCAACTAATGCCGTTTCTGCGCCTTCGTCATGCGGTAGCCTTTACAAGTAGGCTCAACATTTTCAAGATAGCCTGCTATGACTTTGTTTGAAAAGAAGTGTTCAATAAAGGAAGGGTTCCTAGTCGCACTGGTCATCTAAGAAGATATGCACTTCAGACTGCTCGTATCGGCTCAGACAATCGCTGGGGACAGACGGGCACCGGAAAAATAGATTGCTGATCTCTCGCACCCCGCTCGCGGATTTTTTGGAAAGCAATCAAAACTTTTCCGAAGACCGCTTTCTGAGTCAGCGGATTTTTGAGAGACCGCCTGTTGAATTTTTTTGCTCTTATCTTTTGCAGATATATTGCTGAATCTCTGAGGAACTCAGCAAGCGGTCTTCCGAAAAGTCCTGATTGCTTTCCAAAAAATCCGCGAGCGGGGTGCGAGAGATCAGCTTTTTATTTTTCCGGTGCCCGCCTGCACCCGGCGATTGTCTAAGGGAATGCTAGAAATGAAAAGTAATTCTTCGTTTGCTAGACGAATTAAAATTTGTGAGAATCTGAAAATATAGTTGCGAGGAGTCACGATGCTGGAGGAACATCGTTAGTTGCAGTTATACTTACTTACAAGCGGAGGATTCCAATACTTATGTTTTAATGAGCTAACCCAAATCTACCTTCTCCATCTGCTGTGAGATTCTTTGGAAGAATCTGTAAGCGGTTAAATATGCGAAGTCATTCGGATTTCAATGCATAATGCATTGTTATCCAGCTTGGGAGCGCTTGGCGCATAATTGGCAAGATGTCGAGTGTGCTGACTACTAGGAGTGTAGCCATTAATCATACCATGATCAAGGCTTGTGAACAACTAATTCTTGAACTGATGCCACTAGACTTCTGCCCATTCTTTCATGACTTTTCATAGAAAACAACATAGCAGGTTAGGGGAAATTAAGATTCAGCTCAACAATGCGCATCCAATGAAATGAATTTTGTTCCAGATCGTCACTGCGACATTGAACCTTTCTTTAGTTGAATGCCCACATAGCCTGCCTTGATAACCTGCAGGCTACAACACAAAGTTGCCATTGATCCCTGTCCCTCGCTTCTGACGTCCACATATCTTGGTGATCGTCGATGGCTGCGTCCATGAATTTCAAACGCGAAAATCGTATCCAGCTAACTAGATGGTCTATGTCGGAACACGTCTGCCACATTTTGTTCGCGAGAGATTCACTCTGATGTTCTTATTGTTTATCTGTCGTCTGTCCTTTCTGAGATGAGACCGTCCCAACAATGTTTAGCTTTCAGTATATAACGCTGGAGCACGAATACTGGACATTCTTTCTACATCCGTACTGCGAAGTACGGCAAGATGTTGCTGCCGGCTATGCTTCAGAAGCATGCGCTCAAGCGCTTTGTGGATGGTTCGTCGAGCTTTCGAAGTGGCTGCAGGGTCAGCCCTGGTCTCAGTTGCGCAGCAAAGGCCTAGAGAACGCTGAAATCGAACAGGAGGGCGCAAAGCTCCAAGTCCATTCGGTCTGTGGCTTTCTTCTTCCGCTTATTTGAAGTCCGATTTTTTTCGTTACTTCGTTGAGTACCTTCCATGCGTCTCTTCTTCAAGCTACAGCTTGGAAAAGAACGAAATAATCCGTAAAACGAAGATTAGGGAGAAATATCTCATAGCGTATGTTTCTCTAGTCAAAGTGTTTTTATCACTCACTGCAAGGCCGAACGGCTTCGTGTCGCCTTGTCGGACCCCCCTTCCGGTTGGGACGGTCAGGAGCGATGGAACAACAGCATCTCGTTGCACAATTTTTGTAGCAGTTGGTCAATGTTCTCGCATATGCTGGATCCAATTTTTGAACTATCGCAGACAGAATGACATAGTAGCGGTTAATAATGCTAGCTCTTCTGACGTAGAGGGTTTAGACTAGGATACCAAGGTAACAGTTTGATACGTCGAAAGATAGGAATAGATGGGTCGACGACAAAGCTGTGACGGAACCTTGTCATCACAAACATGAGGGTCCCATCAATTTATAGTCGCATGTCTTTCCGGTCTTCGCTTCTTGCGGAGCGATGACGTGGTATTTGATGCTCTGCGGCGCGAGAAGAGCGCAAGGGTTTGAACACTATCCTGAAATTGTAGATACAGAGCATGAGGCAGTTTTTACAGCGTGGCGCCGTAGAAATGTCATTTGTCTTTGGCGTTTGTTTCCGATCCAAATGGCGTTCTGAGCAACCTGACATCTTCTTGTTACCACCCGACGTTGTAGGCGGATCGTGTAGCTTTATTCAATCCCAAATTCGGATTTGTTGAGACACTTGCTGCAAGTAAACATTTGACCGACTAGCAACAACTAAAAATTACGAGGAGAACATACGCGTGTCCACGCATAAAAGTCTTGCTCTGTCTGCAAAACATATTCGGACATGAGATTTGACGCTGACGCAGCATTTCAAAAGAACTAGATTATATAATAACTATAAAGCAAGAAGTCGTCGTCAAAATCAAACAGAGAACTTGCATTCGCGAATTTTTCGGAGTTTCGGGAGATCTTTAAGGGAGAGTCGGATGAAATCAATGATAGGACCAAATTACTGGAAGATTCCACGGACAAGAAGAAATTTGCAATCGTGAAATTTAGCAATACAGCAGGAGAGTTAAAACGAAATTTGGTTAGTAAAGTAATGATGCTTATTTGAGCACGGTGCAAGTCCTAAGTAAGACATTCTGCAGTTTGAAGGAAACAAAGAACAGGAGAAATTGCAATTCTGTCTACATTATCGCTTTAGTCACGACTCTGATCCCTTGCTTTATCTGGCTTCCTATATCAAAGCAAATTCTTCGCATGTTAGTCACCTTCATGTGTGCTTTCCTTATTTATGCAGGGAAATCTACTAAGGTTTCTTTGAAAATCAAAACTAAAACATTGAAAGGTTGGAGGAAAAAATTTCAGTTGGCTTCGTACTCCTGCATAGCTTATGTGGGAAACATATCGTACGCTTTGTATCTTTATCATTGGCCAATTTACGTGAAAATGAATACAGTTTCTTGCCAACCATTTCTAGGTTTGTGTCCAAACACTTCATCACATTTAGACGATTGCTAGCGTTTTTAGCATACTCTTGGGGGATCATCATTTCCGTAGTGCTTGCCTCAACATCATATCATTTTTTTGAGCAGTATTATATGCAATGGTCACCTACTGTGATATCATGGCTGGTGCTACTTCTTATCACAATTTCTGCTTTATTGTCGTATCAGCTTCGCATGGACCAAAACTATGTCGATGGAGTGCTCAGCAAAGCTTACGACTACGAACTTTTGGACCATTCAACCTGGAACGACAGTGGTAGGCGCCCTTTTTTTCAGATCCATTAATAACCTATTCATATTATAAAAGGTCGCACAAATACCACCTAAGGCACAGGAGAAATCACTTCTTCCTTTGCCCTTACATTTACATTTAGTTGCTGCTCCCACGATCTTAAAAGTGTGGTTGCAGAAAATCCTCGAGTGGAAATTAGACAACAGAAAGTTGTACTATGGCATCATAGTTTTGAGTCTCTAGCATCTGCATACTCAGACAAAAATTTGGCCGAGCGCCCGCGAACTGAGTTGCTCTGCTAAGGGCACATATACCTGGCGAATGCCGTACTCGCCGGACCGGCGGAGCGCGAGCTGGCATGCATGAGAGCTGTCGCACATGTCTGGAGCGCGGCGCTTGTGCAAAGAAAAATATTAACTACGGACGGTCGCGAGATCAACCAATGCAGAAGCGAGCGCGTGAAGCGCGAGAGTAGAGCGTTTGAATCTTAAAAAGCTTATTATTAGACTTTCTATTGAAGTTTCCTTCGCATTGCTATTCTTTTTAGATTTTTTCATCTTTTCAAGTTTCGAATGCTTTTAATGAGTGTTATATTGGGTGCTTTCTATATACAAATGGTCTTATTCTTGATTGCATACGATGCATTTTCATAGAAAATAAGTATAAGTATCGAGTGGCAAGATTGCTTATTTTCAGTTCTGGTCACTACGTGCTTAAGAACCAGCGATCTCTGGTATTCTCCATCATTTTCAGAGGCTAGTTTCGGTGCCGTTCTTCTTAACCTAACTCAAAAAGTCAAAATTGCAAATTTCTCCGGAGTTTCGCTCAGAAGAGATTAGGACGCTCGTCACGAATACCATGATACTATTTGAGGTGGTCGGACCAAATCCCCAAACATGCTCCAAACCTTGCTTCTTTCTATTATGCTGATTATAATCATTATAACGGTTACGCTCGAAAACCTTTCTTCTGAGTTGCTCAAGTATCCGATTAGTCATCCGCGTTAAGTTTTAAGTATGTATCGGTGCGAATATCTTTGCGTTAACGCTTTTCCAAGAATTAATTCTTCTCAGAAAAACGTTCCGCAGCTAATGAAGATAGGTTCAAAGTCATCAATGTAAGCATTTTGATTATAACATATTCCAAAAAGTTACGGTCAGCAATTGTACTTCCCTTGTAAGGAGAAAAACCGGTGCACTTCTATTGTCGGCATAAAGGTCTGTAGGTTCTTTACCTAATGCGTATATGGATCACATTGATCTTACCTATCATAATTTCTATGAGAAAGTGGGAAAAAACGGCGAGCGGAGGTCACTGCCAGAAGAGTTGGATATCTTAGGCCAACCTCCGTCGTGAGCAGCTGTTGAGGATTAGCTGCACCCCGACAACTCGAGAAAACTTGTTACCCAAGTAACCAACATACCCTGCCCAGTGCCCTTTCAAAGGAAACAAGAATAACTCAATCGTTTACAAATCATCCTACAAAATTTCAAGCTTATTAAGGCAGTAACCGGGGAAGTCGACCATACCTACATATTATCCTCGGTTTTTGAGAAGAAATTCCATTATAGCTGACTTCAATAAGAGCAGACATTTATGTAGGGCGTCCTCCCAAAAAGATGTAAACACTGATCCTTGATAACTCTCTTGTTTTCATGTCATTTGCCGAGCTTGAGGTATTAGAGCGAAGTTCAATCTAAATCTACAGTATGGAGCGAATTAAAAGTCACTCTTTATTACTGTAGGAATACTGTGCGAATTTTCAACATACAGCCTATACGAGTTTCGAAAATGATTAGATGATTAGCTCCATACCGTAAAACCAAGTGGAACCTCTCTCTACAGTACGGTACCTCAAGCTCGGCGAAAGACATGAAAACAGGAGAAGAGTTAATACCGATAAAGCAGTTCACATCTTTTTGAGATACTCTGTATTTCCTAATAGGTAGTTTTTCATCCATTTTTTGCAACTCAGCGCACCCATTTGTCTGCCTTTTTGGAAATTTCTTATCTTGCATTTTTGGTTGTAGTCAGTGTTTCTTGCAGTTTAGTGACTGCTTTTTTTCATTAAATAGCTCATTCAAACTGCGCATAGACACCTTACCGTCCGTTCCAGCCAAATTCTACTTAAGCGTGCTCATCTATTAGGTTGTCCGGAAATTAATGCCCGTTTTAAATTCCAACCGCGCTAAGTCATATACTTCTCATCTCTAAATGGGTTGCAAAGTACCATTCGATAGAGCAAAGCAAGCTCTACAAGATGGCCATCTTGCTTTTGCAACAGCTTTGATCCATCTCGAGTTTCGAGCCAAAAACTAAAAAGACTCAGCAGCCCGAAAAATCGAAAAAAATCGTAACTCATTTCATAAGAATCCTACAAAAATTCTAATTTGCTTGCGAAAACACTATCCACATAAGACATCAATATATGCCGTTGCCGTATTTTTTTCTCTGTTAGAAATCAAGGAAAAGGAAATTTTCGTGCATTTGCCAAAGTGATGCTGTGCCGTCCCCGCATAGGTAGTTGTATACCACAAGTCTGTAGAAGTACAGACTCAAATTTCCAGCTCTCTACAAGCTTTAGTTCTCAAGAAATACCGAATATAGCTTTCCTTAGTTAAGTGGTCCAAGCTAAAATTCAAATTTCTCGAGAACTAAAGCTTGTAGAGAGCTGAACATTTAAGTCTGTACTTTTTCAGGCTTGTGGTATACAACTACCTATGTGGGGACGGCACAGCATCACTTTGGCAAATGCACGAAAATTTCCGTTTTCTTGGTTTCTAACAGAGAAAAAAATACGGCAACGGCGTATTGATGTCTTATGTGGATAGTGTTTACGCGAGCAAATTAGAATTTTTGTAGAATTTTTATGAAATGAGTTACGATTTTTTTCGATTTTTCGGGCTGCTGAGTCTTTTTAGTTTTTGGCTCGAAACTCGAGACGGATCAAAGCTGTTGCAAAAGCAAGATGGCCATCTTGTAGAGCTTGCTTTGCTCTATCGAATGATACTTTGCCATCTATTTAGAAGTGAAGAGTGTATGACTTATTGCGGTTGAAATTCAAAACGGGCATTAATTTCCGGACAACCTAATACATCAGAAGCAGTCTGTCAGGTACTACGATTACAAACAAGGTTATAAAAATGTACAAACGAATTGTTTATTTTTGTAAATAATTAAAATAAGTTTAAAAATTTTTTAAAAGTTCAAATTAGCCTTATAAAAATTTTTTTCGGGGGCGTGGCTAACGCCACGCTTCCGAAAAAAATTTTGAGAAGGCCACGCACCTTCATTTGAAAAAATTTTTTGTCCCTCCCTCCCCGGTCCGAAATCCTGGGACCGCCACTGGTAACAACCCATGATTCACTGATGTTTGTAATATAATTGAAAATAAATAGCATGGGTTCTGAATAAAATAAAATGCCTCTCCATATCTGAGGGTGTAATATTGTTGGCTATCATTCTCTCACGCATTTGAAGTCAAGAAATACCAATATGAACAACGAAAGAGTAAAGATCGGTTCATAATTATACGAACACCCCACATTGTGTCGTCTCGGACTGTCGTTTCTCGAACTCTTTGAAAGAAATGCAAAAAAAACATTGGCACCATGTGAAAGAGCGTAGCCGAAAACAGTATACGCGCTACAAATACGAAAATTGATGTCAATCTTGGACAAGCATTGTGCGCCAAACACATTTTTGACAGGTTCATGTTTATGCGACCAAGTCAATCAGAGCTCTTTTTTTTTGCTTAACGTTGCAACTTTTGGCATTCAAACTTTCATGTAAGGCTACGATCTCCAAGTCTAAAACACCACTACTATGCGCTGGATCCAATGAATGGAAAAGGAGAGCTTCACTCTACTTTCTTAGCTCAAAATGGATTCGCACCAATAAGCCCCCAAAAATGCCCGCTTTATTTAGGCCTTTATTCACTCATGGGGATTGAGGAATGAGAATTCATTGAATGTGCGGTCAAACGCTCGAAAAATGCTGATGTAATCGTCCCAATTGCCAATCCTGTCCCAAATTCACCATAAGGTTGGCACACTCTCGAGACTCAAAACTCGGCTTCCGCCCCCCTTAGTAGTGATCTTGTAAGCACATCGCGAACTCGATATTTATATGATTTACTGAGTTTTGTGTTTTGATCAAAAAACGTAGAGTTTTTGTTTCCAATAGCACTCGACATACAATGAAAATGAATAAGCAAATCAACGCAAGCATGCTTTCTTTTGCTTTCTAGCTTCGGACTTTGAAAAAAGCTCTTGCGAAATTGAAAAAAACTCTAGCATTGATATGTTATCATACAAACGATGTGCTTGCCATATCACAGAACTTTGCGGAGTGCAAAAGCCGAGTTTTGAGGCTAAATTGTGTCAACCCTATGGTGAATTTGGGACTGGGTTGGCAACTGGATCAATTACATCGGTATTTTTTGAGTTGAACGTTGGACCGCACATATGACTTGTCATCTTCAATCCCTATGGGCTGGATAAAGGTCTAAAGATAAAGCAGACGTTTTTGGGGGCTTACTTGGCGCGGATCCATTTCGAGCTATAAAAGTAGGGTAAAGCTCTCCTTTTCAATTCATTGGATCCAGCGCATAGTAGTGGTGTTTCAGACTTGGAGATCGTAGTCTTACATGAAAGTTTGAATACCAAAAGTTGCAGCGTTAGGCATAAAAAAGAGCTCTAGTTGAGGTGTTCGTATAAATATGAGCCGGTCAAAAAGATGCTTGTCGTATAATGCTTGTCCAAGATTGACACCAATTTTCATAGTTGTGGCGCGTATACTTTTTCGGCTACGCTCTTTCACATGTTGCCAATGTTTTTTTTGCATTTCTTACAAAGAGTTCGAGAAACGACAGTCCGAGACGACACAGTGTGGGGTGTTCGTATAATTATGGACCGATCTTTATAATAAAATTCTTCGAAAAGCTGACTTCGCTTCGACGGTGTTGGGCGCGATATTGCTCGACTTTTGTGCGAGGGGCGCATAGCAATGGCACAGCAAATACCGAACGATCCGGTTGAACTCTATGGCACGGTGTTTGGAGCCGTTCGGCCAAAATTTTGTCTGGGTAGCATAATACGACTTGAGAAAAAATTATCAGTGAAATCCCTCTCTACCATTAGATTTTTGGATAACGATCCCCGAACAAACTTTGACTTCCATGTATTTCCAGATTGATCAGCGCTGCTGTTATTTTCCCCCATAACATATAACCGCTCCCTTACTAATCTTTTTTCTAGTTAGAGAATACATCAGCTTGAAGACGCTCAATACCTCAAACAATATGCTACTCCGATCTTGTAAGTTTAATGGTAGACTCATTGGTCGATCGAAGCCATACAGATTCTGCTCAGAACAGGTTGGTTTAATGAACAATTTTCGTACAAAAACAAAAAGCGGCTGTCCGTGCTTGCAATATTGACGAGTATTTAGACTTGTAAAGTAATCTCCAGCCCACCAGTCACCAGTAGATAAATTCTATCTTGGAGTATGCCCGCTGCAGTGTGGCACCCTTAGCCCAAAATTCAAGCCTACGAGTCTTTTTTTGCATTTTATTTGCATCATTGCATTTTTTTTCGTATTTGACCATTGTGTCGTTGATGAAAGATCGCTTATACCGCTATGCTCGTTTTGTTAGAATTGATTGCACGTAATCTTCGAGTATCGATGAAAAATGGAGATTTTCACTCTCATCTTATCAACAATTACTTCAGCGAGTCTGATAAAGATCCTCTGTCTGCATAATTTCTTCAAGCTTACCTAAAATTTGAGTTAAAGACATGAGAACAGCAGTTTGAAACGTCGCTCACCTTCAACAAATTGTCAATTGTTACAGACATAGGTAAAGTCAGGGCCCGGCACGAGGTGGGCAAATGACAAGCTGGAAATCGTTTGGGGCCAAAAAGCAAAGGGGATATCGTTTTTGCGGGATCCGAGGCGAAGCCCGGAAGAAGATTCTAAGTGCAAGCAAAAGAAGATTGAATCATGCTTACCTTATACATCTAATTCATCGGAAAAAAGTTTTCATAAACCTCAACGCACAGCAGTCGCGTGCACTACGCCGCGTCGCCGCTAATTGTCGCGTGCGCAACGTCGCATGAGCGATGCCGTTGAACAGCATGATTACATGATCAGTTCTCAATGCAGGCGTAATGATATAGCACCAAATCACGTAAGAGAACAAAGAGCTAGTAGAAACAAAGCATGAAATGTTATGAAAAACATGTGAATGGGAGGTGTGATAAGCATTTTTTCCAAAAGTTACGCAAAACTGGTAAATAAAGATGTGACTTCAAATGGCTCGTTCGCAGCGCACAGATGACCATACGGTATGAAACCTGGTATGTACATGAACACGGGCCTGCAGGGCTTATCTTAAAAGTTCTATTGAAAAGTTATGTGACTGAAGGTTGTGGCAAGCTTTTTTCTGGAAATTTCCCACTATCAAGAAAATGGAAAAATGGCTCGTTTGCAGCGCAGAGAAAACGAAACCACGCGAGACTTGGTGTGTATACGCGCAGTAGGACTAAGGAACAATGTATGAAAAATTATGAAAAACTTATGTGAATGAAGAGCGTGCTTAACTTTTTTCTAAATTAGGTGGGCAAATGCCCACCTAATGCCCACCTGAGGTGGGCAAAATTTTCAATTCACATAATTTTTTCAAATTTCTACATAAATCTGTTGCTCACCTGAAGTTTACTGAATGGTGAGATTTTGGTTCCGAAACTCCTCCTCTTGTCTTTGTTAGAGCCCAAAATCGCATCAGCAGCCTAGCTTCTTAAGATGGAAAGCGCGTCCCAGTCAATCGATACGCGCGGGACGGCGTCTCTCAGTCCTATGACTGCGTTCCTTTGATGTTTTTTCATTCCTTCATCATTTTCCTTGCTTATTCTTCTTTCTGATTTCTATCTTGATACAGGTGAGGAGTAATTAGAGGAATTTGAGCATTTTGGGCGCTTTTGAGCGCTATTAGGCGAAGTGTGGCCGGTGCTCTCGTTCCACAAGCACAAAGCACCATTTTTGGGCTCAAGGGGGGTATCTGTAAAAACTATTGGGGTCAAAGAGGAATTCGTTTTGGAAAACCCCGTCTGCCCACCTCGTGCCGGGCCCTGGACAAAGCACAAAAGCATGCAACGACGAAAAAAATCGTGAGCTATGCCTGCGGGCTGAGGGTGCCGCGCCCTATCGCAACTGCATGCTCAAGCCAAAATCTCATTTGCCCACCAGGGCCAGTATGTATCAATTTCCCTCCCGCGAAGGGATGGGTGGGTCGTTACCCGACCGGGCACGGGCCACCGCACCCGCGATGCATCATTCTGAGATGTTACTCGGGCAAGAGCCCGGACTGCCTAGTTGGGGATCAGTAGCACGCGTGCTGACGCATATGTACTATGCATCTTGGCGCATTCTGAGAGTGACGCCGTTCACTCGTTTTTATGCATTTTTTCTCCGAATTTGAGCTTTGTGTCGTGTTTCTTTGACGGTTTCTGTTCCCTGACATATTTTCTCTAAAATGTAGAGGTAAAGATAACATTGTGGAATAATGGAAGTGAGTTTATTTCCCCGTTTGTGCATACACCGACTTGACTTCTCTTATCTTGAACAGGTGAACTTACGTTCATACTTTCTGTGTTAGCCAACCATTAATTTCATTGTTGCGAAATGCTTGCATAATGAAAATGAAAAAATAGTCTAAGAGATAGATTCTCAATGTAGACACGAGAGTAACGAAGTGATAAAGTTTAAGAAGTTTAAGAAGAGGATATGTCATACAGGTCACAGTCCGTATAGGCGCGCGCACTGGCGCCCGCGATACACGAGGCCAAGTTGGTGAATATATGGTCCGAGCCATGTTGGGCACGGCAAGGGACTCGATCGTGCCCGATCTTGACAGGTCGGGTTCTGTTCCCGTTTGGGCCACGCTCCCCAAATTTTCATGAAACAGGGATGGCGCTCTTGGCGTCAAGGTACTCATTTATAATACCCAACCACGAGTGGGAAATTGATAAATACCGCCTCCGGAGTTTCAAATGAACGGTGAGATGTCGCGAGAAAGAAGAAATGGTTCCAGAAAGCCTCCGGCTCATACAATATACTAGTCATAGAAAACAGTTTTGCTTGGAACCAGGGAGATTTGGTGTATGATGCCTTCAAGAATTATGCTCGTCGCTTTAGCGTGTTCTGCATAAGAGGTAACCTTTGATTCAACTGGCTTGGCCTCGGCAGTATGGGGTTTTGTGACGTAATTGACGCCGCTCGTGCCCGCGACGCACGTGCGTCTCACTCGCGCGGGTGCTCTCTGATCACTAGCTAGCCTTAATTAGGTCACGGAGCCCCGCCCTGGCGAGGCCAAGCCAGCTGAATCGAATGGTATGTTTCTCAGCAAGGTGGTAATCACTAATAAAATCGAATATTGTGTGTAGGCTGCGAATTTATGACGAGGATTAACACAAAACTAGAGCAATGCACAACTTACGCGAATTCCTACTTCGATGCTGTGCTTGACGAACTAAAACCGGATATAATATTTATTTTGAGTAGGTAAGCTATATGACTAGTATTGTATAATCTTCCATATTACGATTTTAAAGAGCATTTACTGCCAAACTACGATTCAATCTTACACCGTTTTCTCTCGAAAAGGATACCATCTTCAATGATTATATGAACACTATGAAGAAGTTGGAGAAATTCGCCAAAAAGGTAAGAGACCTTGGCATCAGAATCAGCTCTATAATCGCAAATTAGGTGTATCTATTACAAGCATTGCCTTCGTGTACACAGCATGAATGCGCCAAGAATGTTTGGGATTATGTGAGAAAAAACAGACCCTTAGATATTGTTAAGGTCAGTTTTGCATTCAAAAGCATGTAACTTTTCTGTAACTGTAACTTTGTAAATATTTAGAAACAACTCATTGACAGAGACGAATTTTTCGCCCGTTTAAGGATAGAAGAAGTTGGCAAGAGGTAAGAAGCACAATTCTAATATCTGCTGTAAGTTTCTTTTTAGGTGTAAAAAATGTGAAATTATTGATTATATGCCGCTACTACTCGATGGCAGCGGACGTTATCTAAGATACGATCCCGAAAACGGTTTTTTATATCTAGATGGACATAATCATCTCACTGATTTCGCAAAAGAACGGATTCGTCCGCTTTTCAACCGCCTCGCTGAGGAATTTGGAAAAGCCATGCCCGTTTGAGAAATAAATGTTGTTGCTGTTGTTTCAACTTAAAAAGATGCGAAGCGCAAAGTTAGTGTCGAAAAAGTTTACTCGAAATTAAATGTGGGTTAACTGATCTATAATATTGGTCAAAATGTTAAACTAGCTAACAATTATAAGAAGACCAAGCACAGTCTTCACAGCAAATTGCAGCGATAGAATCAACTTATCGAGTTTTCAAAAAGAGAAAAAATGCAGCGGAACACAGGTACTAAATTGGACTCGCCTTGAAGGCATCATACACCAAATCTCCCTGGTTCCAAGCAAAACTGTTTTCTATGACTAGTATATTGTATGAGCCGGAGGCTTTCTGGAACCATTTCTTCTTTCTCGCGACATCTCACCGTTCATTTGAAACTCCGGAGGCGGTATTTATCAATTTCCCACTCGTGGTTGGGTATTATAAATGAGTACCTTGACGCCAAGAGCGCCATCCCTGTTTCATGAAAATTTGGGGAGCGTGGCCCAAACGGGAACAGAACCCGACCTGTCAAGATCGGGCACGATCGAGTCCCTTGCCGTGCCCAACATGGCTCGGACCATATATTCACCAACTTGGCCTCGTGTATCGCGGGCGCCAGTGCGCGCGCCTATACGGACTGTGACCTGTATGACATATCCTCTTCTTAAAAGCCTGTAAGCAGCACTCTGATGGGATGAGCAAGTTAAAACTATCTACACTACTACCACAGGCACTCATCGGATGCTGCAGCATAACGATATAGAATTTAAAATTTCGGTGTCAATTTTGCTACGAGAAGCAGAGGTCAGGGCACGCAAGACGCTAGAAGTTCGTTGGATTTTGTTTAGAGATCCCCAGACGAACAGGAAGGATGGATGTATTTGACTTACAACCGGACCAGCCAATGCTTAGCTCACTTGTTAATCATTCTTTCTCAATGGTGGTCCGTGACCCACACTCGGCTAAATTTCAGGTAGGCTACTAATCCTAGGCAGCATCGTTTCCGTTTTCTAGTCACGCGTATTTTTCTTGCATCATAAGACGTTTGGAAAGATGAGTCTCAATTGTTCCTCGCTTAAGGGCTCCGACGAAGGCGAGTTGGCCGAAACGTCAGCAAAAAATAACAGCCTGCAAACAACGATATCATCATGGCAAGATTCACTGAAGGTCGAATGGGAGGATGAATGTCGCTCACCGAATAGCCTCATACCCTTCTATTCAACTGAATTGACGGCTGAAGGCGGGGCTTTGTGACCTAATTGAGGCTAGAGAATATCAGAGAGCACGTTTGCGAGAGAGACGTAAATTGCGTCGCGGACGTGAGCGGTTGCCTTCCAGCTGCCACTTTCGTTAAATCAAAGGAGGCGTCCGTCAATCTTTCTTTTAAGCCCAAATTGGCTTCGCCACAGCTTAGTCTAACATAATTCATCACTTTGAACACTTATTGTATTTTATTTACTAGCTAGCAGCCCCGGCCTCATCTTAAGCGTTTGATTTGTTCGGCATGGAATGAAATTTGATGATTCACCAGAAACAAGTGCTGTTCTTCCCTACCTCCCCCCCCCCCCCCTCCCTCCGTACTTTCAAACTCTAGCACAATCTACCTCGCCCATTCACAATGCCACCTGCACAGCATATGTGTGCAAAATTGGCGCTCTTCGGTTCAGAGCTAGGTTTCTGTACTGAACATAATGTATATTCAACCTCCGTCTAATTTGGAGTAAGCCCAACTCGAGTGGTTCGGGACTTGCGCTGTTGCTACGCTTCGACCCTGCTTTAATCTTACTAGGCGTTGGAAAATGATAAGAGAACACGTTCGCGAACCCGGCGCAGGGTCCACGCGAAGCAACCATGCGCTATTCAAACGCTTCGAGATTCGTCAAACAATGCGAAATAAGGATTCAGATAATCACACCATCTTTTAATGTCAGAGGAACCTACTAACCAGAGATCCAGCTGCTGGTAGGTGTGGAAGCTAGAAAAAGACAAAGGCGAAAAAGATATGTCAACTGTTATTATCCTACTTAACAAGACGCTGAAACCGTCTGTTTTTTATATGTTTGTCTGGAAATCTACAGTTGTATCCGGCCAACATTGCAGGATTTGCGGGATTTGCGGGATTTGGTTATAACTTCTTCTAAAACAACTTTTTCAGAATCTGCAAGAAGATTTGGCTTTAGCTTAATGAGGACAAATCTTTTAGTATACATTATGCCCGTTTTCCGCGGTGCATTGTATTGCATTGGCATGTGTTACGAGATTATCAACATGTATTGTTGCTCATACGAGTAAATTTTGGAAATAACAAAGTAGTATCATTGTTAGTGATCTTGTGCCGAACAGGTTTTCATGGTGGATCTTTATTGCCTAACGTTTCGACAAGTATCGTCTTCTTCGAAGGCCTGAAAAGGACTGCAGTTTTGTATTTGTCTGTCTACACGGTCAGAAGCCTCCTCGAACTTGCGCGCCCAGACCTTGTCCAGAGTCAACGTACTGGAATACAATCCGAAGTAACAGTCACCAACCTCAGATCCATCGCTAAGTCAGTCAGCCCGCACGACTGTGACGGACATCACTGAGAATCCCAGTGTGTCAAAGATATATATAGTCTGCGGCTATAGTCGACATAATGATACGAAAGGCAGAAGGTCACTTGTTATCGTCAAGCATTCATTTTTATTGTTCATCCCCGGATTTCCGGCGGATATCCACGCTGCCTCCAAGGTCTTTCGTGCCGAGATCTCATATGCTAAAAACGTGCATTTTACATTAAAATCGTCACCTTTATGTGCCTCGGCTCTATGTTTACTTCGGATTGTATCCCAGTACGTTGACTCTGGACAAGGTCTGGGCGCGCAAGTTCGAGGAGGCGTTTGATCGTATAGACAGACAAATACAAAACTGCAATTCTTTTCAGTCCTCCGAAGAAGACGATACTTGTCGAAACGTTAGGCAATAAAGATCCACCATAAAAAACTGTTCGGCACAAAATCACTAACAAAGAACACGAAATGCCCAGGTTTCAAGACGAGAGCACATGGAAAGTAGTATCATATGTCTACCGTATGACCATCGACTACGGATATGATGCATACCAAAAAATTCGTCTCATCAAACTGCAGCCAAATCTTCTTGCAGATTCCAAATAAGTTTGTTTTAAAAGGAAGTTATAACTAAATCCCGCAAATCCCGCGAATCCCGCAGTTTTGGCCGGATTCCACCGATACTATTGTATCTGTCACGAAAGTCGCAAAAGGAGTCCAGCTAAGGAACTGAACCCCAAATTTTGCATAACGCATGCCATGTAGGTTCAGCATGCGGAAGCGCAAACGGATTGTGCAGTCAGATACTGCGCACCAAGCAGATCCACACAACTTTTGCTTCGCGCGACCTTTTGCAAGATTATGGACATGAATGAAAAGTATTGTCGATTTGTTGTCTGCACGGACTGGACACCACTGCGAAGCACGCGCCATGATGTAAAACGCTGCCCCAGTACAAATACACCATTGTAGTATAAATCGTGCTCTCGCAACATTTCAGCTGCGCAACGCGTGGCGCGCAGTATCTGAGTTGTCTATGTGGTCAACAAATCAACAATAAGTGCAAGCCTTGGGCGTTGGCCTAAACAATGAGCAAAAAGTCTACTTTTACGCGAAATTGGCGCCAAAAAGAAATGATGAGTTAGGTTGTCGGTTTGTCAGGTCTTACTCAAGATTTTGAAAAAAAATTTTCTCAAAAATCTAGCTCGGTGGTAATTGTCTTTATGCGACTACCATGCCATGATACGTTCGGTAACTCATTCAGTTCGCATTTTTTCTTTGTAGGAATATTTCCTCTCAAAGTTACTGATCTCACGTGAAATAGAGCACGGAATGATTAGTTGTTTACAATTCATTCGCGACAGCCAGCATTGTATGGTGGATTTCAAAGCCATCATAAGAGAGCACGAGGACAGCAAATGAATAATATTTGCCCCAATTCCCAGCAAATGAATAATATTTGCCTGATCGCGCAAACTATAGAATTAGTGCGAGCCTTTGCGAAGCAGAGGTGACGCAAATATAGAAGCATAAATCAATTTGCTTAAACAATGCCTAGGAATACATAAATAATGACAATAATGACAAAAAACTAAGTTAGTTTGCTGACAGACGAAATTCGAACTGTTTTCAAAAGTGCAAAGGCGCTATACTTTATTGGAACAGTTTTGAAGATCTATAAACTACTCGAAATCGTCTATTACACCCCCTTTCCACAATGGAAACACTTCCATTCTACCGCTTCGAGCGTCGGTGAATCGATAGAGATGATAGCAGCGAACGAGGTCGGATAATTGGCGGAACTGAAACTTTTCTGGTGCAATAAATGACTTGTGGTTTTTCGAATCTTACCGACTGCATCTTGTTGTTTCCTATTTGTACATACCACCACTTTGTGCCATTTCCTTCATCAATTCTTTTTACAGGAAAATGAAAAACCTGAAAAAAAGAAAGAGGAAAATTTAAGATGAGTATTGTAGGTGTATACCTCATTTCTTGTGTTTCTGTGTACGAGGAATAATGGAATAGTCGAGCGAACGTGGCCGTCACTATCAAATTTGTAATAAAGCGCAAAATCATCTGGTTTTACAGCGGCCGCAGCCTGCAAGGAGAAGGTATGATCTTTGAAGTGTACTTATTCATAAAGCAGAAAGTTTAATCCATACGAATAGCTGATAGAGGATTTTCCTAGTGCATGAAGGGGATGTGTGCCATGAGGCAAAGTTTCTTTTAGCATGTTCGAAAAGAGCCGTTTTCTTCTCGAAAAACGATTCACAAATAATAGCTCGCAAGGGTGGGAAAGAGAGGGGCGGTTCCTTTCGACAAGCTTTCAGAAGCTTTGAGCTTTGAAACGGGTGAAAAGACCTTTTTCGGGCGTTTACCCAATTTCCAAAAGACAGCTCGTGTAGGAAAAGCGCAAATTGCCACCACTGCGCTATTGGTTGCGCCCGCACAGCCCGCCGTTAATGCGAGAA